GCCTCCACCAGAACCTTGAATTTCAGCGATAGTGGGGCCAAAGGTCATGGTAGGGGAGCAAGTAGGGAGAGGCCAAGGGCCAGGATGGTGTCTAATACCCAGGCCAGGCTGGACCCTGAGGTGGTGGAAATCCGTAGGGAAGGGCAGGCCCTGGGGGGTAGGGAGGCTGGGGGGACCCTGAGGGCCGGGGCTGTCCCGGGAAGCTGGGGAGAGGGGGCTGGGTGGGGTATGGAGGTTTACTTCCTCCTGAGAGGTAGGGGGGTTGCTGCTGGGGGTAACCAGGACTGGAGGCCCGGCCTCCAGCCAAAGGGTAACCGGGGCCAGGTGCAGAGCCACCAGTTGAGGCCACGGGATAGCCTGGCTGGGCTGGCGTGCTCCTCTGTGGGGACCAGGAGTAGCCCCCCACAGGCCTTCCCGGCTGGGCTGCCGAGAACGTGGGGCCCAAAGGCACACTGTAGGAGAAGGCAGGCTGGGAGACCACTGGGAAGGGGGCCGGCTGCAGCGCTCCTTGGGCGGTTGGGCCCACGGGCATGCCTGGAGACGGGCTGTAGGGCAGGGGGTAGGGAGGAGGCCCGGCAGATGATGGCGGAGACGGCTGCTCTTCGGCCACCGGGGGCGTTGCCTGGGGGACCGGGCGAGGTGGGGGTGGCGGTGGCCGGGGTGGCGGAGCATCTCCGGCTGGCTCCTGGGGAGGCCTGGGCTTCCTCACCACGTCTTGGAGCTTCTCCACGCGAACCCGACGCAGGTGGGACAGCACCCTCATGGAGGAGAAGTTCTCCAGGAATGTTTCCAAGGGTACCTCGCCCTCCAGGAACTTCTCAGCCATGGCCTGGGAGACACAAGGTCTGCTGACCACAGGGCCCACCCAGACCCAGCCTCCCACCTGCCCCAGGGCACTGATCAGCCGCAGCCCCTCCACCACCACCCACCCTCCGCAACGTGCCACTCCCACCCTTCTCTGGCCCCCACTGGGAAATTTTCTTTGTAGCCTGTGGGATAAAGGACCCGGTTTACCCTAAGGAAGTTGGCCTTCACCCTTGGCTCTGAGGAAATGACCCTTGGAGTAACTGGGGTGCGTTGGCCCAGGACTTTCAGGCCTTATCTGAAGGTCAGTGCTGCCGAGGAGGGGCTGGCCAGGCCAGAAATGCCTCAGCCAAGAGGCCAATATCAACTAGGTTCAAGAGGCAAGATTTCACCTCCTGCAGGACTGGCCAGTGAAGCCTTGGACACTGAGGCTCAGAGAGCTTCCTGGTTGGTGAGAACATCCACTCTTGGGAGGGCAGTGGCTCCCTCGGAACGTGGAAGCAACATGCTGGGGAACCTCCCAGCCTTCACCCTATGCGTCCCTCAGTACGTTTCTTTTTGTTTATAATGAATCAGTAGTCGTGAGTATGGTACACGCCAAGTCATTCCATGGAATCATCAAATCCAATGGGGCGGGGGGGCCAGCAGGTCAGAAAGTGTTGGGTGAACTCCTCCAACTGTGGCAGGCATGTGCCTACGTGCAGTCTCGAGGATGGTGTCCCTTTATTTGTGAGCTCAGACTCAGCTCCCGGTGGCTAGGATCAGAGAGAGTGCCACAGGGGTAGTTTGTGACAAAGATGGAGAAGTGGGAAGGTGAGGACTGGATCGATCTCCATGTTTGGGGTCTGGACTCGTGCTGATCTCGTTACTATCTGGGATGTCACACAGCACTGGCTGGGTTATTATCTGTCTCCCTCACTCAAGCGGGAGCTCCCTGAGGGCAGGACGTCACCATTGTATCCCTCCCCCTGGTGCTGAGCTGGGTCCACAGGGGACATGACACCTACATGTTGAAAACTGGATGAGGGCCAGCCTCGTGGTCACTAGGGCACATCAGCACATGCCCTTGGAGGGCCTGGGAGCCAGTCTGCCTGCATAGACCAGCCACCCGCCCGGTGGAAGCAGAGCAGAGAAGCCAGGCAGCCAGAGGGAAGGGAGGGCCTGAGGCCCCGCCTTGGTCCTGCAGAGCTCCCACTGCCAGGCCTTCCATTCCCGGGCCTCGCATTTGTCAGAAGCTTTTCTGCATCAGCTAGGAAGACTGTGTTTCTGTTATCTGCACGCCAAAGAGCCTCCACTGAGACTGAAGGCATCATCCATCCTGGCCATCTTCTAACCATGCCCCTGGCCCATGTGCCAAGTACCGGTGGCCGATGCCCTTTAAGGAAGACGGGGTCAACTCCTCCATCTCACCTCAGACTCTTCTTCAATCTTCATGCCTTCGACTTGGAGAAGGTCTAATAAGGCTTCGGGCTGCAGTGCTGAAGAGTATTTCTCTGGAAGGGAGGGGAGAAAGGCTGACATTTCAGATAACCCGGCCCCTGGAATGCAATGTGAGGGCCAAGGGTGCAGAGAAGGCTGAGACAGGGCTCAGAGCCCTGTGTGCACAGAGGTCCACGTCGGTCTACTGCACAGCCCCCTCAGGTGGGCCTGGTGAGCTCCCTGAGACCATCTTCCTGTGCATGGGGCCCGGCAAGCCCAGCTGACCATCTCTCTGGCCCTGCTCAGGAAGCGAGGAAGACTCAGGCTTCCAAGCCTGGCCTTTCCCATCCTGGTCTTGCTCCACATCACAGTGAAACTGACTTAACCTATCAAGCTGCTTCGTGCCTCAAGACCAGGACAGCTCCCCAACTTCACAGAAGCCAGGTCCCAGGGTTACAGACAAGCTCTGTGAGGCATGCAAGCCGGGCAAAGCTGGGTGCGGGTTCTAGATTCAAACCCCAACTGCACCTCCTTCGAGGTGTGCAGCCTTGGGCAAGTCCCTGAACCTCTCTGAGCCTCACCTCTTCCATTTGTACAATGAGAATGACAGTGGTGCGGCCCAGAGACGGCCGCTGCACAGCTGGCTCGCAGCACTCGCCCTCTCCCATCCTATCGTGCGTGCTTTTCTGGCCGCTGCCCCCTCCAAGCTTGGCCCGAGCACCTCAGAGCACCCCCGGGAGCCACCGACCCTACCCAGCTTTGCCTTCTGCTCCTGGCACCGCTCCACAAGCTTCCGGAGCTCCTGGTACTTGTCCAGGAGGTTTGAGCGGCTGACCTCCAGGGGCCCCTGGAACTCTAGGTTCTGCTCAGCCAGGCTCCGGTTCGTGGCCAGTGCCATCTCCCGTTCCAGCTGCAGGTCCTGGACCTAAAGGGCAGGACACCCAACAGTGAGAACAGCAGCCACCAGTGACCTCCCCATGGGCTGGCCCAGGGGCTTCTGGGGCTAACCGCTCATTCTACCTCCCCTACAGTCAGACAGAGCTGGGTTCAAGCTCAGAGTCGAGTCTCTGCCTCAGGCACCTCACCTGCCCCTCCCATAGGCTATGAGGTGGATACTATTGTGCACATGAGAAACAGGCACTGAAAGTCAAGAACTTGTTCACAGCCACCCGATGAGCAGGTACCAGGCCTGCAGGGGGGCACGCAGAGCTCCAGGGAGGGGCGGAGCAGAGGCCCAGCCACTCATGCCCAAGCGTCAGTCAAGAGACCTACTGAGGTGGACCGAGGTGGCACAGGTCAGACCCACAAGCCAGACATGCAAGGAGGCCCCCAAATCTCTGAGGGGTGAGAGGTCCAGGTCTGGGACCAGAGCACAGCCCTGGCTCAGGGGAGACTTTCTGCTGTCGCCGAGGCCACAGGTGTGCCCTGCAGAGGGGCTGTGCAGATAAGCTGAGAGACTGACCACCCAGTCTGTGGGCAGCCTGTGGGCAGCCTGTGGGCAGCCAGTCCCAGGCCCACAAGGGCCAGCAGGAGAGGCGGCAGCCTGAGGCCCCAGTGCCAGCCTCTGTACCTTGGATATGGCCCTGGACATGGCCCACTAAAACCACTTCCCTAAGACAACCAGCACTTTGTCCTTGCCACAGGATTTCTGCTGCCACCAGCTGATGAGGCAGTTGCTACCAGACACCTTCCCAGCCACGCAAGGACCCGCAGCCCGGCCACATGCTGGGGCGTCCTCCTTACTGAGAGTCAGAGCCGCCACCCTGAGAAAGCAGGGACAACAGACCGACAGCAGCATGGGGCACCAGTGCAGGGGCTGTGGCCTGCGACAGGGCTCAGGTGTAGTTCGGCAAGGCCGGCTTCCACCCGGGAGCCAGTGGCCTTGTGCCAGGCAGCTTCTCTTGCACAGCCAGCTCATACTGGGACCGGCCTAGCCCCCCATCAGACACAGGAAGCCAGTGGGCATCCCCAAAGAGGGTGACTTCCAGGGAGACCTCTCCTGTGCACCCCATCACAGGCCCTTGAGCTTGTAGCTCAGGGGAAGCTCCAGACTGGGAAGGGGGCGTCACAGCTAGAGCCCCTCCAAAGCTGGGGCTCAGGGATCGCAGGGCCCAGCCACGGCCTCCAGGGTCTGCCACGTCCAGGGCCTGCTGCCCACCTCTGGAGGCTTCCCAGTCCCCTCTGTGGCCACTCAGCAACCACAGACTGGGGACAGGGACCCTGGTGATTTCCAGCCTGATTCTCAGTCACTGAGGAAGGTCTGCTCCCCTGCGTGGCGGACACAAGGCCGGGAGCTGAAGGCCTCCTGCCCAGCCACCCTTTGAGGGGCCCATGGGTCCTCTGGCACCCAAATACACTCACTGCCTTTTCCTGGGGTCTCAGCCAATAACTACACTACATCATGCTTCCCCCTAGAACTTGTCCTACCCACTTCTGCCTATCTCCCTGCTGCCTCCCCAATCTTCCGAGGGGTCACCTCTACCGAAGTGTCCAGTGAGGGCCTCTACTTCCATTTATGAGCGGCCAATAGGACAGACCTAGCACCCAGCCCAAAACAACGCATCACCGTGCCTCGGCCCCTCGCCTACTCTCCCACACAGAGAAGTAGCCCTGCAGGCTCCCTTCTCCAAGCAGAGTCCACTCGCAACCAAACCAGCACCAGCCCTTCTCACAGTCCCCCAGTGACTGTCCATTTCTACCACCACCGGTAGGGGACCTAGGCAATGCCTTTGTGAGTCTAAGGAGCCGGCCTGCCACTCCCTCCGATCCAATGACTAGTCTCTCCCTCCGAGAATTCAGATCGACTGGACAGGCACAGCTGCACAGCACAAAACTCAAGTGTCTTTCGCCCAAGAAGGGGTTTCTGCCGACATTTCCCGTGAGTCTGCGACTCGTCTCAGATTTGCTCAGCCCGCTCAGCTTGGAAGCCAGCTCACTGCGAGTTCGGCCTGCTTTTGAGACAACCAGTGCACTTCAGAAGTAGGGAATCCCATGACACATGCTCCTGCAGATTCAAGAGACACTCAGCCATAGCACGCAACAGCCGACTGGAAGGCGAAGGGGAGAAGACCAACACCGTGCCCGGCACCGTGCCTGCAGAGAGCAAGGCCTGGCAAGCTCACTGGCCAAGTCGCCATTTGGGTTGGTCCTGGGGTTTAACCAGGACAAGCTCTGGCCCGAGGCCTCGGTCAGGCAGCTCAGCTGAGTCTGGAGGTGATGCTTCCCAGGGAGCCCTCACTCTCCTCACATAGCTCCGCCCACCAGGGAGTCTTTGCCACCTAGTACTCGGTTACCTCCAGCCACAGCAGAGATGGCTCGTGGACAGGAGCCCGTGATCACAGGCCTGCCACGCTCCTAACAGAAAGGGATGTGCTCTAGGCTGGGGGTGGGGAAGCTGGGGGGCGGACTTCAGGGTTTGGTTTTCTTTCTTTTTTTTTTTAACATGCTGTGGCTTCACAGAAGCCACATTCCAAATGCTAACCAAAGGGGTTGGGCACTGGCTGGGTTCGTCTCTCCCTAACATTAGGGGGGGCCCCCCAGGCAGGCTGCAGCCACCCAAGGTGTGACTGAAGCCATTTGTGGCTATGTGGTCACAGCCAGTCTCCTGACCTCTCCTACTTGCTGGGGAGTCACCGGGTCACAGGAGATCAAGGCCAAAGCTCTGTAAGACAGGAATCCTCCATTACCACGAGAACTCTGTGACAAGGAACTGAGAGGACGGGGTGCCAAGTACCAATGCAAACGGATCGACAGGTGATGAGCCCATGTCCTATCCCGGAATGGCTCCAAAAAGCCCTAGACTTGTGGGGGATGCAGGGCCGGACAGAGCTCTTGGGGCAGGCAGGTTCAAACGGCCCTGGTGTGAGGCTGGAGCCACAGTGTGGGGACCTTTGGGTACCTGGGTCCCCAGGGGCTCCAGGGGCCCCCTGCACAGGTCCAAGGCCCGCACGGCCCGAAACCTCCGGGCTGGGTCCGAACCCGCGTGAGGGCTCAGAGAAGGGGAGCGAATTTATCTGAAACACGTGCCACGTCCTTGTGAGGGGCTCGTCCCGCCTGCTCCCCACTACCTCAGGGGCCTCCAAGGCCAGCCGGTCGATGGCATCCGGGTCATTCTGCATCTGCTCCAGCTCCTGCAAGGTCTTGTCCCTCAGAGTCTCCATCTCCCCTGTGGACACAGAACGGCAGCCACGTAAGGGACCCACGAGCCCCAACTGGGGCCTGTCAGATGCGGGCTGCAGGGTCCCCGTGCTGACAACACTCTGCAGGGAGGCTCTGGGGGGAGGGCAGGGCCCATCCCCATCTCCAGGGGGACCGAAAAGCTCCCCCCGGCCACCCAAACCGTGAACGGCCCGTACGCGGAAGCTCCGGCCGCCAAAGGAGCAAAACCGTGGCTCCTGGTGGAGCTGGGATAAAGCTCCCCGAGGAGCACAGGGCGAGGCAGAGGCTCAACAGAGCCAGGCAGCCAGGGACCAGGACTAAATTTGGCCCAGGGCCGCCGAGAGCAGGAAGGCCACTATGCCCTCGGGCAGCGTCTATTTCTGTCTGAGCAGAAAGACACGGGCCTTCACACCCCAGCAAGCTTGCTGTCTGGCACCGCAGGCCCCAGTGTCTCACTGCTGGCTCTATTTAGCACGCCACAGCCTCAGGTCTCCGCGCTCCGGGCCACAAACGCGGCCTGTCACAGGCACGTCCTGCTTGGAGCAGGAAGAAAATTACCCAATGAGCCTCTCAGGCAATCAGAAGGAAAGAATTGAGTGACCCAAATAGGACGTCACTCAGCCCCGAGGGACATCAACCGTCTGGGTGACAGAGGGGACACAGCCAGTCCCCAGGCGGGAGACAGCACGGAGCGACTGAGAGGATGAAGACAGACCCACCCGGCACCACCTCCCTCCCGCTAACGCACTCCCTGCATTTATCTAGTTTGTTTTCTTGTTTCTTGTTTCTAATTTGCATTAAAAACCAAAACCAAACCCATTGACATCCAGTCGATCCCCATTCAGAGCGACTCTCATAGGGTTTCCAAGGCTATAAATCTCTACAGAAGCAGACTGCCTCCTCTTTCTCCCGAGAAGCAGCTAGTGGATTCAAACCGCCAACCTTTCGGTTAGCAGCCCAATGCCTTAACCACACACCACGAGAGATTTGCATTAAAACCAAACCACAAAATAACTGGGGCTCTGGTGGTGTAATGGATAAGGCATGTGGCTGCTAACCAGAGGTCAGCGGTTCAAACCTACCAGCTGCTCCATGGAAGAAAGATGGAGCAATCTACTCCCATAAAGATTTACAGCCTGGGAAATCCAATGGGGGTGGTCATTAGGTATCTTTAATGTTGCTTCTGCCTGTTGCAAAGGTCATGCTAGTTTCAAAGGCCCCAGCACTGCAGAATCTAAAGCCCCATGGCCCACTGCAGCGGCACCAGGGCTCAGCAGGAGCGAGCCAACAGAACCACCGTGCTGAGGATGGCGTGCGAGCCGAGAACCCAGCTCACGGCTGTGGGGACAGAACCGCTCCTCCGGGTCTCAGTTTCCGCATCCGAACCAGGAATGGGGTGGCATCTAGAGTCACCAGGAAGATGGAAGAAGACACCGATGACCACCCACTCCCCCACTCTTGTCTGTCAGGACGGTCCTGGTCCCTCCTGGTGCCCCTGCAGCGTCATTAATGGTGCCCCTTTGTAACAGAACTGTCCTGTTTAGGCAGCAAACGACATGGTCACCGTACCGACAAAGTGCTGTGCACACAGTTTTCACCCGATGCACCCACCGTGGGGAGGATGCAGCCCCATCACCCTCCCAGGAAGGGGGCCTCCAGCTGTGTGAGCAGCCTGCCCCCAGAGCCTGGTCAGGGTGGCCCAGGAACCCAGCCCTTCCTGCGGATGCAACTGGGGCAGGGCCAGATCCTGAGAGGCCACGCTCTGCTCGTCGTGTGACAAGGAGGCCACCGGATCCTGAGCAACGCTGCCTCTCCTGATCCCAGTGACCCCTTTGCAGGGGCGCTCTGAGAGGGCAGGGAGTCACGGCCCGCAAACAGCAGAGCCGACATGCACACCTGCACCCTGTCCGCACCTCACTCACCGTGTTTTCCCAAACACCCTGGTCTCAACACAGGGGGCCAGGGGAGCAGAATACGCAAACACCTAGGAGGGAGGAGAGCTCAGGTGGTGGGGTGAGACAGGGAGAGGGACAAGCAGGAGCCTCTGTCTCTTCTCTTCAAGTCCCAGAGGAGGAGCCCTTTCTAGGCCCCTGCTCATGTGGTCAGAAGGGGCCAGTCCCTGGAGAAGGCTATCGTGCTTGGTCAAGTGGAGGGTCAGAGAAAAGGGGAAGACCCTCAACGACGTGGACGGACACAGTGGCGGCCACGATGGGCTCAAGTACAGCAAGGACTGTGAGCACGGCCACGCCCAGGCAGAGTTCATTCTATCGTACGTGGGGTCACTATGAGTCGGAATCGGCTCAACGGCTCCCAACAACAACAACAGCATCACACTAGGGGTCCTTGGGTGGCAGAGAAGGTTTGCATTCAACCATTCAATGAAGGTTGGCAGTTCAAAGTCACCCAGTGGCACTGCGGAAGCAAGCCCTGGTGATCTGCTCCCACAAAGGTTACAGCCAAGAAAGCCCTATGAAGTAGTTCTCCTCTGCCCCATGGGGTCGCTATAAAGTGAACCCACTCAACGGCACTGGGGTGTTTTGTCTTGTTTGGTATCTCACACCTGAGTCACACGGGTGGGACAAGGGGCACAACTTCTGCAGATTCCTGCAACAAGGTGGCTGGTGGGGCGGAAGCCCAGTCCCACCCTCCCACTTACCAGCGGGGCAGCCTCACCCTGGTTACTGAACCTCTCTGACCCCAGGCTCATCATCTGCAAAACAGGTATAACAGCACCTCCCTCACCAGGTGCGTGTGAGTGTTCAACAAGATACTGCAGCAAAAAACCCACTCGCACTCAGGACACTTCTGCTCATGGCAAACCTGTGGTGATTCTGGGGGGACCTGAATCCCAACCTTTCAGTCAGCACAGAGTGTGTTAACCATTTGCAGAGACCCCCCACCTCTGGGACTCCCAGTGAAGGCAAAGCTCTGGCTTAGTGCAAGGCCTGGCCCAGAGAGACAGCTGCTCTGTGAACACTGGTAACTGTTCCTAAGGCCTCCAGCACCCAAGACCAGCTCTGCTCAGGGAGGGACCTCCCCGGAACACGGGGTATGCACACGAGGCAGGTGACCGAGGCGGGTGACCGAGGTGGGAGCACACGCTCCTGAGCCGACGGAATCTTGAGCGTGGGCAGTGGGCCAGGCCCACAATGGCACAGTCAGCAGCTCCACGTGCTCACAGGCTGGGGGTTCCGCGCATCAGGAGGGCCCCAAGCACAGCCACGATTCCCTGGACAGGCGCCAACTCACCACCACTGACCCCCGAGGGGCCACGCATACGGGGCGGCACAGCCTGGAGCGGCAGAACTCAACCCTGTGGATCGCGGCACCCCTGCTCACTCCTGACGACTGGTCTTCCCTTTGATAATCTTCCTCTGGAACGGAGCCCCACCCTGGTTCCCTAGGGCCGCCTTGAATGCCCTGTGGCAAGAGTCCCTGTAACACCTGCCTGGCAGTCTGAGCAACAGCAATGCATTGTAGACAGTGAGGATTCACCCCAAAAGCTGGAGAGATTTCACCCCAAAGTTGGTGATGCATGAAGGCCACCATCTCTCCTAATGAGACCACCCCTCCCTGACTCCAGGTGCCTCAGAACATGGGCCTCACTGGCCATACTCGGGCTTCCACCAGCTCACCAACCTCTCCTCCCAGCAAGCCCAGCCAGGGCTCCTGACATCAGCGGTCACAAGGACTAGCCAGTTCCATGTTAACAGGGGCATCAACGTCTGAGTGTCTGAGGCTGTCCCTCCTCCTATCCTACCTTCTTTCACCAAGGGGATCAGGCTCAGGGACAGCAAAGACAAAACATGGGAACCAGCCCGATTCTCACATACTCATGCATGCAAGAACCGGTCTTGTTTTTACCAAGGTCACCACCACCACCACCACTACCACTCCCTGACCCGCCGTGGCCTTTCTGTCCCGGAAGCTCTCTGCGTCCTTTTCCAGTGCTCAACAGTCACGCCAGGTGTCATCATCCACATGCTCGGGGCCACAGCTGCAGGACAACTGGGAATCCTGCAGGTTCTGGGGTCAGCGAGGGTTCAGAGGACCCGAGAACGAGGCCAGCTGGCTAGGGGCTGGTTCTCCAGCACAGTCCCCTGCTCCCAGCTCCCAGAGAACCCTTAGAAGACTCGCCTGGCAGGCTCTGACTACACAGGCTCGTGGGAGCCGTCAGCCAGACACAGATGCGCTCCTGCAGGCCACAGTGGTTCCCCTCCCACGCAGGAGACTTAGGTTGGGTTTCTGGCCGCTGTACCTCACACGGCTGCCACCCGCTTGTCAGTGGAGGCCTGTGTGTTGCTACGGTGCTGATCAGGGTTCAGCGGAGCTCCCGGACTCAGACGGACTGGAAAGTCAGGCCTGATGATCTCCTTCTGACCATCAGCCAGTGAACACTCTATGGATCATAGTGGTCCGATCCCACTGTGTTCAGGGCACCATGAGTCAGGGGCCGACCCCGGGCAGCAAACAACAACTACACACCCAAGTCTCAGACCCGGCCCAGGACTGGGGTGACAGGCAGGTCACTCCTGAATGGGACAGCCAGCCTCAGGAGGTCCCCACGCACAGCCTGCAGGCCACAGCCCACCCACTCAGAAGATGGGAACTTCCATAGAAATATTCGGGCATCGAGTGCTCTTGAACGATGGGAAGACCTAGCTGCACAGGGCTCCAGTGCCCCGCCTCAGACCCAGGCACAAGGGCTCCCCAGCAAGCGCCAATCCCACCAGGAGGGGCATTTTGAGTTTACCAAACCAGAAACCAAACTCACTGCCATCGAGTCGATCCCGACTCATAGCGACCGCCATCAGGTTTCCAAGGCTGTAAATCTTCACACAAGCAGACTGCCCCGTCTTTCTTCCACAGAACAACCAGTGGTTTAGAACCACCAACCTTTTGGACAGCAGCCTAATGCCTTAACCACTACACCACCAAGGCTCCTTTGAGTTTACAACCCCCTGGGATACACAGATAGGGACAGAAAGTTCTGGAAACCAACAGCAAGGCGCCTGTGGGGAACGTGCACTCTGGTCTTCAGTGATGGAGCTGCAGGTGCTGCGGACGCACCCCAGCCGCCCTCAGAGGCCTGCTACTCAGGAGACCCTTCTTGAGTCCCACAGGCCAAGAGAGGAGGAGGAAGGGTCGCCCAGCTGCGGTGCTGGCCGTCGCTGCCACTCCCAGACAGGGGCCACGGCGAGCAGCACACTCAGAAGAAAAGCCTCCCTCTGAATCGGGACTTCAGAGTCAGCCGTGGGCATGGCGGATGCCTCGGAAGCTCCAGGAGCAGGGCACCCTCATCGTAAAGAAGGTGAGGCCCTGCTAGGACACACCCTCAGGGTAGTCTGACCAGCGGAAATGGGCCTTGTTGGGCCCAGCGAGTTTTAGGTTGAAACGCACTCAGCCACACTGTGGGCTGCAGCACTATTTTTTTTTTTTTCCTAACTCCACCTCCTCTGGTTCCTCATTCAACATCCCTCTTGACTCTACATGCCTATTTCACAGGCTTTGGCAAAATGAAGGCAGAGGGGCCAAGGAGTTTGCCTATGGTGACAAAAGAGGGGATGTCAGACCCAGGATCCACAACCCAAGCTTGACACCCTTCTACAAGGCAGGGTCCACCCTGCTGCCCCCTATTCTCACGGCCTCACGAGGTACCGGTGGCACCTGGAAGAGAGCCACGTGTCCCCATTTCTTCTAGAATGAGGTGAGCTCAGGGCCCCACTCTCAACTGTGCCCAACAGGTGCAGGCATAACATTCTCTTTAGGGACTCAACCTTTCTTACCTGCAAAATGGGTGAACAATCCCTTATGGTCACGTGACTCCTTCTAAAAATCAAAGCCCTCTGCAAACTCTCCAGGAACTAATGCCATCACCTTAGTAAGTAAAGCGAGCCCAGGGCTTAGGTGGCCCTACTTTGGGGATGAAATGAAGCCCAGAGAGAAACAGGAAGGGGACATGCCCAATCCTGCACAGCTGGCTGGGGTCAAATCACCAGCAGCCCCCGTCCTGGTCCTCCCCCAGGACGGTAACTTCGTGAACACCTACGCCTCGTTTGCTGGGTCCTTCCCAGGGTCCATGATGACAGCTCAGGCAGAACTCAACCCTGTGGATCGCGGCACCCCTGCTCACTCCTGACGACTGGTCTTCCCTTTGATAATCTTCCTCTGGCAGAGGTGACAAGCCCGGGCACAGGGGCTGATGACCCGGCTCCCCCATGTGCCACCCTGTGCCAGTTATCTCAGCACTGCCACCTGGGGGAGTGGCTCCTGAAAGTTAATCAGCAGGCCTCTCCTCCTCAGCAGTCTCAGTCTGGAGGCCCCCTGGAAGCCCGTCTGCCATGGGTGACCGCCGTGGGTGACCGCCGTGGGTGACCGCCGTGGGTGACCGCCGTGGGTGACCGCCATGGGCGACGTGGCTGGTGTTGCAAACACTGGTGCCAGAGATTCCAGCATCACAGCAGGACGCAAGCCACCACAGAAGACAAACTGACAGCCAGGTGGCGGGAGTAAATATTCACAGAGCTCTTTCTAGGTGCCAGACATTGCCTTAAATATAAAAGCAAATCCTAACACTCAATGAACCGTTTGTATTAAAAAAGAAACAAACCAAAAAAACCTCACCACAAATCATGGTAAATACAAGATGAGAGGGGCCTTAACAGAGGAGGGGACATGGACTCAGGAGAGGAGAAGTGCACAGCGGGGCAGGGGTGGCTGGGCCAGAGCAGGTGACAGGCAGCTAGCTGGCTGCACAGCACTCACAGGGGCATCAAGACAACACCTTTCTGGGGCGATACCATCAACTCAAAGGGACGAAATCATCTCAGAGTCATCTGATGGGAACAAGACAGGAGGAGCAAGGCGGGGGCTGACGGACACACGCCCCCACCAAAGAGAGAAAATGGCACTTCGATCCCTCACTAACAAGCCCGGGAAGGAAAAAGGCCTCGCCTCCTTTCCTCCCTCCCGCCTCTCCCCTCCCTCCCTCCCGCCCTCCCTCCCTCCCCCCTCCCTCCCCTGCTCTCTCCTCTTTATTTGGGTTGTGTTTTCTCTGCCACTTTCCTCTCCACCAGCAGTCACACACCCAGCAGCCTGTAGGCCAGGAAAGCAGGTCAAGGGCCAGCCATGTGGGTGGGGTGGGTGGGGAGCCCGGGAGGGTCCCCTGCAGGGCCCAGCTCCAGACACCTCCTGCAGATAAGGAGGCGCTGGCTCTGGTGGACCAGACCCACTGGTTCTTCCAGATGTGTGGTGACGCACCCCATATACCAATTCAAAGTTGTAAAAAAACACTGAGTGAGCTGCAGCTTGTACCTTCCCTTCCAGGGACGGCAGATTCTACGGAAAAGGGGACCGAGGGGGCAGGTGACAAAGGCATTTCACAAAAGCCAGCGCACCCTGCCTTGACACAAAGCAGCGCAGCACACACAAGCACCAATCAGAGCCAGGGACGGAGGTCTCCAGGTGTGGCCCCAGGGTGCTCCAGACGTGCCTGACCAAGAGGGAGGGGAGAACGAGGCTGCCTGCCCTCTCTCCCTGCTGCATTACTTGGAACCTTCACTGGCACGTGCCTTGAACGTGGGGAACAGGATCATGGAAGATCGTGAGGCCCAAAGGCCAATGCCGGCCTGGGGGATCCAGCCAGGGACTGCTCCGTGGCTGGAAGCGGAGGAGGAAGCCTGGGGGTGGAGGGGACGCTGAGAAGAGCGCAAACACAGGGCGGCCTCCTGCCCCATTCCTAAGGGGGGGCAGGCACATGGATGGTTCTTGCTCAATGAGGAAAACTTTGCCGGGATCATTCAGCCCAAAAACAAATCGCTTCAAATGACTCAGAGTTCCCATGCAGAGATAAACTCAGGGCAAAAAGAAAGTGAAGACAGACAAGGAAATGCTTTGCAAAGCAGCAAGGGCGCTGATGAGAGCAGGACACTGTCCTGGATCACACATGGGCCCCACCCCTAAAGTTTAAGCCAGTCTTCCCTGCCCCCTCCTTCTCTCTCTCTCTCTCTCTCTCTCTCACACACACACACACACACACACACACGGATGCACAGGGAAGCAGCACAGAACTTGGGGTCAGATCTGTACTTTGGCTCCACAGCCCTTGAACCCACCTTGGGGGATGGCTACATGGCCCAGACAAGCTAACAGCCCTGGCGGTGTTTTGCGAATGCCTCAGCATGGAAACAAGTATTTCTTATTCTGGCCCTGGGCGGCAAACTGATGGTTGGGGGGCACTCCTAGGGCCCCTGAATCAAACAAGTGACTGCTATTGTTGAATCCTACCCAGACTGAGTAAGGCGGGTCCAGCCTCAGCTGGTACCCAGACCCTGGGAGCTAATGCGCACGGGCTCCCATCAACGCTCCTTCCTGCCACCAGCCAGTGCTTCTTTGCCAACTACCTGGAGCCTGGGATCCC